CAGTCATGCACCGATTATAACCGGATACAATTTCGGGCTTTTTGGCAAAAGAACTTTCTGAATAAAACTGATTTTCTAAATTTTTGCATCAACGAAGTTTTGTAGAGCAAACATTTTGCTACAAAAAAGGGCTATGCAGGTGCTGTTCATCCTGATTCAGTGCTTATAGAAAATGTATTTCGGTATGATCAGTTATAAACGGTTTAGGGCCCTTCGCCGAAAATCAATTACGGTAAAAATAAAAAACATGAAGTTTTCTGCCACAAGCGATCTTATAGGAAAATATTTACTCTGTCAAACTAAGAGACCAAAAAATGCTTATATGCGTACGTTTTATATAATCTGTTTGATAAGAAACATGAAATATACCGATGCCAGCTAACAAAAGAGTAGCAAATCTGTCTCGGAGTAATTCTATTTTCTTTTACTTTTTGAGCATCTTTGGGTTCTTTCACACCATTTTCCCTCTAGATATTACTGAGCAACACAAATATTTATCTTCCAATCTGCCTCCATTTTTATACCAACGTCTTATTGCTTTGGATGCAGCCAAATCGTATAATACATCAGAATATGAAGCTTTAAATAAACATTTAACGTCCTTATTTACTGTTCGTATTACACCAATGCCTTCGTGTGTCGCAGAAGCGTTTGCTAATATTAATACCACTATTTATGTAGCAATTCAAGGTGAAAGTGAATTTACTATCGGTGGCGCATTAGAACATTACAATATAACAGCTGAAATAAATAAAATTAATGTACCAACATTGGTGACCAATGGAGAATACGATTCTGTCACTAGGCCAGTTGTAGAAAAAATACATTCGCAAATACCAAACTCTAAATTGATTACGTATCCAACATCAGGTCATATGACTATGATCGATGCAGCTTCATTGGTTTTAGACGACATACGCAAATTTTTAATACGTGTTGAAAAAAAGAGAAACATCCACGAAGAATTTTAACATATTTCATTATTCTTTCTATTACATTTCCATATCTTGATGTTTTGTTCAGTACATACAGGTATCTGCAAAAAAATTCGCTTTAGGTTCCATCATTAAAAATGAATAAAACTAAACAATTAATTAGCATTTGAAGCGAAAATTATTGTGAATGCGATGTTTGTTCATCTTATTTGTGATCAGCCTGAACGCCGCCCCTGATGGAATCACCAGAATACGGTTTTTGTATTTTGTAAAGAAAAGTTAGTAGCGGAGAGGACTTTTTTACTGGCACATCCATTTTGATCTCCAGATTAAACAAACTCCACAAAAGATGCGCTTTCAGAAAATGTGATTTTTTCACTGTGACTCTAAAATAAAAACCTTGTAGCACCTGCATTTCTCAACCTAATTGCATGTAGATTGGATAGTGAGCACAAGACAAGGTGTTCTATCCGATCTCACGACTACAAAAAGCTAAGGCGCGGGTAATTCAAAGTTTCAGCAGATGATATATCTGTATGAAGCATACATCAGGTGATAGCCCTTGAAGAGGTGATCCCAAATATCACCTTTGAAAAAATTCTAGTCCTTTCCTTCGTGGAGAAAACCTCGAAATACTTCGTTCTTGTCCAGTTT